TTCTTTACCTTAGGGATTAGCTTAATGAGAGTATGATTGATTTCTTGGGGAGGTAGCCTGTGTTTAGATATTCCAAAACTGCTGTCGTAACATGGCGCCCAATTGACTCCCAATTTTGTTGATAAAACCCAGCAGGGAAACCATCATATCCGGGAGCTTTTGTTGGTCCCATCTGTCTGAGAGCTAGAACCACTTCCTCTTATGTGAATGGGGCCGAGAGATCTTTGTTCATTCTCTCAGTAACCCTTTCTTCTATAGCATCAATAACAAAAGCAGAAGGGGGGTTAGGCATACCAGTAAAAGATTTATTGTAATACTCAACCAAATGACTGGTAACCTTCTTTTGACCTTTGTAGATTTTGCCATTATCAACTCTACTTCTTTAATCGTATTCCTCTATCTTCGCAAGGTCACTTTGGTGTGAAAAAATTGGTGTTTTTATCACCACCTTTAAGCCAGTCAGCTCTAGATCTTTGCTTCCACTTTAATTCTTTCTTGTAGATAAGGTCAGTCCTCTCTGTTTCCAAGCTTCTCCTCTTCTGAATCTGCTGTTCGGTCTTCGGATAAAATTTAATCTTCTTTAGCTCCTGATCAATCTTTTCAATTCTTTTCTCGATATTTCCAAAATTTTCCTTGCTCGAGCTTTGAATTTTTCTTCTGCAATCCCCTAGTACACATAGAATATCAGCCTCTTCGTCGGATTTGCAAACATTTGAGATTACTTCTTTACTTTCAGAGTCCATAAGCCAATAGGATTCGACTCTAAATTGCCATCCCCACTTTATATCTTCTTCCTCCTTGTCTCTAGTATTCATCAGAATAGAGCAGTGGTCTGATCCACACCTCTCCAGGTGGCTAACTTTGTGATTCGGGTATAGAATTTGCCAATCCCAGTTTGCCAAGCATCTGTCCAATCTTTCTTCAATAAAACGGGACCCCCTGACCATTGTCCCAAGTGAAGGGATATCCTTCAAAACCACAATCCATGAGTCTACAAAACACAAGAGCTTCACAGAAGTCTGTAACCTGAGTTTCATTAATGTGACGTCCTCCTTCCTTCTCCCCTCTAGCCATAACTTGGTTGAAATCCCCCATACAAAGCCATGGGAGGTCACTGATTCCTTTTAGTCTTCGATACCTTCCTTCCAGAACAAGCAGAGTCCCCCAGCCTTGGTTCCATTATCTTCTCTGGCTGGAATTCCCCTTCCGAACATGAATCCCAAAATCCTCTTCACCTTCCTCCAATCCTTGCTCGATAATCTTGTTTCCATTAAAAAGAGAATATCCGGTTTCTGTTTTCGATGAGCCTCTTTAATTCATCAACTACCGAGGTTTGGCCCAGACCTCGACAGTTTAAACTTATGAGCTTCATTGGGCTCGGCAGCCTTGCTGTTCGGCAAGGTCCGCCACTTCGCCAACCATGATCGAATTTGAAGTTTGATTAGATTTCTTGATTCCACCAGGCAATGGGTCAATCTCCATGTCCTCTACTCCATCTTCATGTGATCTCTTCCCCCTTACCTGCTCCTTATCCCCCTCTGTTTCCTGTCTACTCGAATCCATTTCCTGTTTCCTGAATCTTTGCTCCGCACCACTTATTTATCCGACTTGGATATTTTATGCGTCACCTCGTGTTTGCATTTCCCATTATGATTTCGTTGATCCTCATTGCTTTCCTTGTCCTGTATAGTTAACATCCTTTGCTTGTCTCTTTTCTGAAATTCTCCTTCCTCTCTTACATTTTTTATGGGTTTTTTACTCTGGTTGCTTCTAGATTCCTTGGGTTCCTCCTGATGGCTTTCATTTGGATTTGATTATGGAAGAATTATAACATGAAGATCATTTGCCAACTTCCTTGTGATGGATTCACTTGGATAATCCTTATGGCACACAACACCTTGTGCATTGCTTCCTGTTTCCCTCTTCTCAATTTCTGAGAGAGCATTAGTGCCTTCTTTCCCTATCATCTCAGTCTTTTGGTTTCTGATACCTTTAGCTATTAAGCCCGTCTTTATCCATAGGTTGTCCATTATTCTTTTCTCTTCTCTAGCTTTCCCATAAGCTCTTCTTAGCGGTGATTCAGGTCGAAGCCAAGCACCGTATTCTTCTTGTAGTTCCACTCCTAGTTTGTCCAACTTTCTCGGACATCCATTCTTCAGGTGCCCCAAAACTCCACATTTGTAATAAAATAGGGGTATTTTCTCATAGGCCACTTTATACGATACAGACCCTTGGGATCCATCCAGCTTAACAAATCTGCACAAAGGTTTCCTGATGTTGACCGCTGCCCTGATTCTCAGGAATTCACTGTTCCTTCCTGAATGTATTTCATCCCATTTAAGAAACGAGCCAAACATCCCTCCTATTTTTGAGGCCATATTTTGATTCCTTAGTTTCAAAGGAACCTTTCGGATCCGAATCCAAAATTCTGTTGTGGAGAAGTCAATCTCTCTTGTATCTAAATTTGGTGGTATCTCTTTGAAAACTATCAACTGTTTCTCGTAGTGCCATGGTCCACCTAGAAGGACCTTTTCTCTGTCTTCATAGAAATAAAACTGTAGTATCATTAAACCTTCTTGGTTTATCCGGACATCAAAGTCTTTTTTCAGCCTCCATACTTCTTTAAGAATGTTCTTCATGTCTCTGGCCGAGCCAAGCCTGCCTGCCATGATCTTGCCCGCCATTCCCAGTTCAACTATCACCTCTTCAATACCCTTCTCCTCATCAGATTCTTCTATTTTGATGCTTGTTTCTTCTTCTTCCTTTACTCTTACACTTGCTATTTTGTTGATGATGTCCGATTCAGTTTCCATCAGGGAGAAGTCCAAACGACACTTGTAGGGGACGGAGTACACTTCCACGAGAGAAAATAAACCCACAGAAAGGCCTTGAGACAAGAAGAAAACAGAAGGGAAAGGAAAGAAAGGAGGGAGACAATCCGATCTCACAGGGTGCGAGAAGGATGGACCAGCCACGGATCCGTAGGAGGCGGAAGATGAAAGGTCACCCTAAGAGCAGAGGAAAGGAGAGCTCTCTCCAGGGAGAGTGTTTTTTTAACAATGTGGAACTTTTTTTTCTTATGGACATTTACGTACTCCCACATGTGAGAGCATAGCTTATCTGTAAACTATTTGCTTTGGGTTTCTGGACAAATATGCACTCTTTCAGAAATAATCAAGGTTATTTTGCCACCTCTTCTTGTGTGAAAGCAGGACCTATCAAATTACAATTTGCTTTGGTCATGCTTTTCCCAAACCATCGCTGTAAATCTTATTGGGCAAAATACTGATTACCAAAGTCTTTTCTCTTGCTTGAAATTCTCATGGATGATAGTAGAAATACGCAAATAATGGATCTTGAGCAAGGCTATTTTTCATGATAAAATTCCATGATGTCTCATATTAAAAAAATTCAATAACAGGAGGTTCTTAGAAAACTTTTAGACTCTACCTTGTGGCAATGAGATGGACATCCACCTTTCAGATAACAAAGAAGCATCCTCTATTTTTATTTATTTATTTGGGTATGCTTTTTCTGGCTATGCTAGTGAGTTTCTTGAGCGATATTGTTCACTTAAAATGTTTGGATATAGTGTAGGATCTACTCTATTGTTAGTTTCCAAATGTGCCAACTCATCCTGATATTCTCTAAATTCCCGCTTTTTTTTTCTCCTCAGATTCATCACTCCTTTTGATGGGTTTCTCCACTTGATACAAGAGTTTCCCTATGTGTAAAGTGATTTGTCCGTTGACAACACCGATTCTAGCTCCAACAGTGGCTAAAAATGGTCTCCCAATGAAGATCAAAAGCTCCTTCCTTTTATTCATGTCAATTACAAGGTAGATGGGAAGAATATGAAGGTATCAACTTGGGTCATTAGGCCTTTAACAACTCCAAATGCTCTGCAACTGGTGTTGTTGGCTAGCGTGATTTATACGTTGATGTTCTCCATGTCAGCTAATCTCATATCTTCATATAGATGTAGTGGTAATATGTTGACGCTTGAGCCAAGGTCAACTAGATCTTTTCCATGTAATGGTCACTACAACCAAAAAAAAAAAATTTTTTAACGGCAAGAATCGTCACCGAAAGTAGAAACTTTTGTCACCAAAAGTTTATGTGACATAATTTTTTCGTCACAGTGGCCCTCACCTATAGACCTCTGCAAAATGAATTGGTGACGAAAATTTTCACTTCGTCACATAAGAATGGACTTTATGTGACGATAATATCCGTTACATAAAGATGGGTATTTTGCAACGGGAAAATCTCATCACATTAAAGGTACTTTGTGTGACGAAATAATTCGTTACATAAAAAGTGGACTTTTGGTGACGAATAGAGCCGTCACCTTTAAAAATTTTATGTGACCAGTTAAGCCGTTACTAAAAGATGAAACAGAATATCACGTGGTGTCTCGTCATAGAAGATACTAGTTATTTAGCTAAATATTTTACCAAAATTTCTGCACCACTGACATTACTGTTATTTCTAGTAACAATATGCATTTTGACAAGCACCTAGTTGAAGCACAAGAAAATTCGAACTTGTATTTGATATTTTTCACCATTAATATAGACACAGAAGTGTGTATACAAGATGAACACGAAGCAGATTAAAAAGAAACAATACGCTCCATGGTTGTGACATAATGTCAATGACAAGTAAATTCATGAGCACTTCTACTATGCTATATAGTATTGGTGCTTTCATGTACAACTTGAAGTTGTACCATAACATTAAATGTATAAGTTTAGGTTGTACCATAAAGGAATTTGTATATTTATGTTATGATACAACTTTACAACTTGAAGTTGTACCATCACATAAGGTACAAGTTTAAGTTGTACCATAAAAGAATTTGTACAAAAAGTATAGTTACAATCTGAAGTTGTACCATAACATTAAAAGTACAATTTCAAGTTGTACCATAAAGGTAAAATATTATAGCACCAATGCTATATAGCATTGTAAAATTCCTCGTAAATTCATAAATTCATGTGTTCAAACAGTTCTATAACTAGTAAACAAAACTAAGACCACAAGACAGTTTACATTACGGAAGATCGCATCATCATTACTTCTACCCTGAGGCACTCCCTTGACTGCATTCCACTGCCCAGAATAAGTAGGCTATCGATAACCCTGAATGCACAATGAAATATATATATTGAGCTTAAGTATTAAGAGTAAATCATATCTTGCGGTACGTTGAGACTCGAAATAAATAAATGCCTATGTTATACAATAATTGGCTAGCAAATAGTAAAAGTATCTATCACATTTAATAGTACTCAAATCATTCATTAAAATGAAGTGAAGAGAATAATCACTTTCACTACAAGATTGATGGCCAAAAGAGATCCAGGGAAGCTTACTTTTATTCACAAACAGCGACAAACTATACGTAAAGAAGGGCACAGGTTTCAAACCTCTAACATTCTGTGATGAAGCCTCTGCAACAATTTGCAGCCCCAAACCGATGGAAGATTCGTGGGAATTTCATCCAACGAAATGCATGTACACAAGGAAGAGAGAAAAGCAAGATAAGATAACATTATATTAAGCCCCAAAATCTGCAGTTGCTTCAATGTGAAAGAATTGAGGCCAAGAACAACCTGTAAGAAAGCAAGATTAGATGATGCTGCTAAATGATCTGAAGTTCACATGGCTACTTGCTAGAGAGCAAGTCCCGATAAATTAAATGCAAAATTAGAACGAAGTACTGTGATTTTCAATTGAAACCATGTATCTTGACTAGCAATTAGACTTAATCATTCTAGAAACTTAGCTCCATTCTTCCCATCCACTGTTTTGTCTTTGATCAGGTAATCAACCAAATGAGCTATAATTCACGCTCTCTCCTCATATTTGCTAATGACTCTTTTGTAGAAAGCTCTTATAGAGTTAGCAGCTCGTCTCTTAGTAAAAAGTGCATATGAAGAAGAAAACCTTAAATGCAGTAGCCTCCACCTCATCATAAACAATAGTGAAATTCTAACATGCTCAATCAAGAAAGCTAATTATACAAAACAAGAGACAGCTAAAGGTAATATGGGAGAAGTTAGAACCACTACGACAAAGTAGACCAATCTAAATCACTCATCCAATCTAGCACAAATAAGCAAGCTACACAAAAAAACAAAGTCAAGCGAGCTCAAATTAGAAAGCCAACAACATCTAAGGTGAGCTAAACTGTTAGAAACCAAATTCTGTAGGATTTCTCTATTTATTAATATAATTATTATTAGGGTAATTATCAATAAGGTTAATAGTCATTTAATAAAATTAGATTTATTGTTAGGGTTTTTCACTATTTACTATATATATGCGCTTTGGGTTTCTATTCAGAATCAATAAGAAGCATATCAAGAAAATCCCTAAACCTTATTCTCTCCCAAATCCTCTCAATTTCTCTTCTTTCTCTAATCCGGCCGCCGGCCATTCTCTTCTATTCTTCCCCAAATTCTACCCAAATCGCTAAATTCCCAATTACAAACCCGTTAGAAAATTTGTTTCTAACATTTGGTATCAGAGCCATGGTCGAAAATCTGAGTTCGTCACAACTTTCTACCGGGGACGAACGAGTATATGAAGACTTCAAACCTGACAGCATGAGGATGGAGCTACGACGTACCGTTGTCTTGTTCTTCACCTTTCCTGGGTTCGAAGAGGAGCATGTAGAGGTGCAGGTGGTTGGATCTGATGTGCTAGCAATAACGGGACAACGACCATTGGCTGATGGTCACAGGTGGTTACGATTCAAAAAGCAAATCAAATTCAGAGCAATCCACGACATCAAACGGTATCACACTAAGTTTGGGGAAACTGATTTCATCCATCAAATCCCAAAAATCATTGCACCTCCTGTTCACGACGAAGAGGCAGTAACCGAAGTTCCACCACAGGTTAAGGAGACGCCGGCAAACCTCGAAGCACCACCACAGCCGCACGTCATTATTGAACCACCAGCCAAGGAGATGAACGAGGAAGGAGAATCAACGAAGGTGGCCAAATCTCAGGCTTTGCTGCCCGATGCAAAGAAGATTGTTGAGGTTCATCCGCTATCATCACCAACAGGCACAGCCAACTCTGTCGCAAGCATGGGGGACCGCAACCGCGCCGACCATTGATGTTGCAGCTTTAAAGACCACAATCTCCTCAGTAGAGGTGGGGAGGTCGAGCGCTGAGGATCTCAAAGAGCCCGAATCTCCATTCAGCAATTTAATGAAGAATAATGGCAGGTCTAATTGGAAAGACAGGAAGAAGAAGCCGAATTCGTCAATCGACGAGGATGCAGCGCCGCACTCGTTGAAAGATTCGTTCGTGGCGATGACGGACGAGGTGACGAACCAGGAGTCTAGGGCGGAGGTGAATTGGCCTTCCGACCGCCTGATGAGATGTTGGTTGCCGCGGGGAAAGGAGGATGACGGCGGCGGGACCTGTACATGCCGAGGAAGAAGAAGACGAAAGAGGAGGTGGCTGCCAGCGGTGCTTCGCTCTCCTTGACCGGTTAGGTGACCAGAACGAACGAGATGGGCGTGTAATTGATAGTAGAGCCGACCAAAAAGGAGAAAGGGCTAAAGACGGCAGCGAGATTGGGTTGGTCGCTGGACCATCGGTGGAATTGGTGGCCGCCGAAGGAAGAAACGACGATGGAAAGGAAGAAGAAGCTGGCGGCGGGTAGTGGATCAATTCCAAGACGCCGAGAAAACTGGCGATTCAGGAAGAAAGAGGAAGGACCACCTTTTCCACTGGCCGCGAGGAGCGAGGATCACGAAATCAGGGTGCCGGAATCTTGTGCCGCGGATCCTGCCGAGCGATTGAAGTTCGCTCCAGTGGCCGCTTCGACCGCAGAGGAGGTGCGACGGGTGATGGGATCGTCGGCGGGTTGGGAGAAGACGGTGGCAGGCGGTGCAGCTCTCATCGATCTGGAAACGAAGGAGATAGAGGAAAAGAAAATTGGATGCGGCGACAATGGCGACTTTTGCCCTTTCCGCAAACCGTCAAAGGAACGGCCGATGGTGGGGTCAATGAAGGAGGAGCGCGGTGACATTCTTCTCATGATCCCTAGGTCAACCTCCACCCACGCACAGCAAGAGGCCGAGTCATTGGGCCAACTTGGCCGGGCCAAGTGGTCCAGGAGAATGGGGAGAATGGGCCGAAAAATTATGGGGCAGGAGCTAGCACAAGAAAAGAAGGGTGTTGGGCTCTTGTTTGGCTCACCAGATCAGATGAGCGGGTCACTAATTGAGGTGGCTTGGGCTTCGAGTGGACCAGCTCCTCGGCCGCGCATGTTGGGGCTAACAAGGTGTCTTCTTTATGGTTCTGGGCCAAAGGTTGAGCACATTGAGCCGTGTCTGCAAGGAGTGATTGAGCCCAATATACATTGTGTTCTGCTGAAAGTGGGGTTAGAGGAAAAGGAAGATGAGATTAAAGGCTTATCTAGTGGGCTAGTAAGAGAGAGTGGCCCAACATTATTTGGTGAAGCAACCATTCAAAGTTATGGGCTTGTTCTAAGAAAAATGTATGAAGGCCTTGATGAAATGGTGCTCAAGGGTGGGTTGTTGAACAAGAATGAATCATTGGGTTCCTTGAGTTGGGGGATTGTGAGGCCGACAAAAGTGGAGTTTTTGAAGTACGAATTTGTCAAGGAAGCGTATAGTGGGCCCATGGAAGTGAGGGTCAAAGAAAAAGACTAGCACAAGAAGGTTGGTGGAAAAAGTCCAATATCGGAGTTGGAGCACGATTGGAAGAAACGGAAGCGCAAGAAATGGAGTCAACGTGCAGAGTGCGCGAGAAGGAAGGAAGAGTGGGTCAAGTGGTTCAACCTTGAGGGCAAGGTTGGTTTGAAGGGGGAGGAGATGTTAGAAACTGATTTCTGTAGGGTTTCTCTATTTATTAGTAGAATTATTATTAGGGTAATTATCAATAATGTTAATAGTCATTTAATAGAATTAGGTTTATTGTTAGGGGTTTCCACTATTTCCTATATATATGCGCTTTGGGTTTCTATTCAGAATCAATAAGAAGCATATCAAGAAAATCCCTAAACCTTATTCTCTCCCAAATCCTCTCAATTTCTCTTCTTTCTCTAATCCGGCCGTCGGCCATTCTCTTCTATTCTTCCCCAAATTCTACCCCAAATCCTTAAATTCCCAATTATCAAACCCGTTAGAAACTTTGTTTCTAACATAAACAAACAAGAAGCTAAAAACAGTAATGTTAGAATATGACTTGAATTTGATTTGGGTTTGTTTTGTGTTTTGGGCCTATTCTGTTTGGGTTTGGCCTTTTCCTTGTATGTTTGGAAAAAGTGTTTGGTTTTCTGTTTGGGATTAGGAGAAGAGTTCTATAAATACTCTTCATCACCCTAGTCTGTAGTAAGGTCAGTCAGGTTAGTTTGTTTTGTTTGTCCATTTGGAATTTGGTTTATAACCTGTACTCTCCTCGAAATCAGTGAAATTTGTTCTCCCCTGCCCGTGCATTAGCTAGCACACATTGTGTTAGTGAACCACATTAAATTTGTGTTTGTTCGTGTTAGTTTGGATTATCGATTGCACGCTTCTGTTCTGACGAGTGGTATCAGAGCATTTGGTTGCGGTTTTGGGAATTTGGCGCTGGACTGAAGTTTTGCTTTGTGGAGTTTGTTTGATAGTAAGAATGGCTGCTATCAGTATGAAGATCGAGAAGTTTACCGAAAGAAACAGTTTCAGTTTGTGGCAGATTAAGATGCAAGCACTGTTGAAACAACAAGGTTTGTGGGCTCCGTTGTCTGGAAAATCGAAGAAGGAAAGTATAGATGAAGAAGAGTGGATTACTTTAGAGGAGAGAGCTCATTCTACAATCTTGCTTTGTTTGGCTGATGACATCATCACTGAGGTTGGTACTGAGAAGACTATTGCGGGCTTATGGTTGAAGCTTGAAAGTCTATACATGACAAAGTCTTTAACTAACAAGTTGCATATGAAGCAACGTTTGTTCAGTTTGCGTATGGAGGAAGGTACGTCTCTTAAGAATCATCTAAATCAACTCAATACTATCTTGTTAGATCTGCGGAATATTGATGTTAAAGTAGATGATGAGGATGCTGTCTTAATTCTGTTAGTATCTTTGCCACAATCATATGAGAATTTTGTGGATTCTTTTATTGCTGGAAAAGATAGTTTGTCTTTGGAAGATGTCAGATCTGCTCTACACACTAGGGAGGTTCGACATAAGGCGTCTGGTTCAGGTTCGGAAAATCAGGCATTTGGATTGGCTACTACGAGTAGTAGGAGACAACAATCTGGTAATAGAAAGGCGAATACAAATTCGAATTCTGCTGGTTTGAAGGATGATATCTGTCATTACTGCAAGGAGAAAGGACATTGGAAATTTGATTGTCCTAAACTGAAGAAATATCAGAAGAAGAAGGAATCATCTGCTGCTTTGGCGGAAGAAACTAACTCTAATTCTGAAGATGGTTTAGCCTTAGTAGTGAATGAACATGTACATCATCAGGATGTGTGGTATTTAGATACTGCAGCTGATTATCATATGTGTCCAAGCAGTGAGTGTTTTTCAACTTATGAGCAGATAGATGGAGGACATGTTTCTATGGCCAATGGTGCTATCTGTAAGATTGTTGAAAGAGGCTCCGTCCGGATGAGGACACATGATGGTTTTGTTCGCACCTTGAACAATGTTACACATATTCCAGAGATGACTAAGAATCTGATATCTTTGAGTCTACTCGACAGCAAGGGTTTCAGTTTCAAAGGTGAAAGTGGAGTGTTGTCTGTCTACAAAGGTTCTAAGGTGATTTTGAAAGGTGTCAAGCGTGGTGCCTGTGTAGTCTACAAGGTTCTGTTTTGACATGTTCTGTTCGTGATAAGTGCACCAAGTTGGTTCTGAATGGCAAGTCTCAATATGGATTGGACTTGCCGAATGGTTTGAGATGTTGACCGCCCTTAGGGCATTTGGAGGCAGGGGAGATTCTGGTACAACTGATTTGGAGGAGTTTGGTATGTCTGGCAATCTTGATTGCATCTGAGTTTGGCGCTTTGCATCGCGTATGGGTTTGGTGATTTCGATCACATCTGGATATCTGGCGATTTCAATCGCATCTGGGTAAATTTGGCGATATGGATTGTGTCTGGGTAGATCTGGAAACTTTGGTTACGTCTGGTACATCTGGTATTTGAGAGAGAATTCAAGTCAAGGTGGAGATTGTTAGAATATGACTTGAATTTGATTTGGGTTTGTTTTTTGTTTTGGGCCTATTCGGTTTGGGTTTGGCCTTTTCCTTGTATGTTTGGAAAAGGTGTTTGGTTTTCTGTTTGGGATTAGGAGAAGAGTTCTATAAATACTCTTCATCACCCTAGTCTGTAGTAAGGTCAGTCAGGTTAGTTTGTTTTGTTTGTCCGTTTGGAATTTGGTTTGTAACCTGTACTCTCCTCGAAATCAGTGAAATTTGTTCTCCCCTGCCCGAGGATTAGCTAGCACACATTTTGTTAGTGAACCACGTTAAATTTGTGTTCGTTCGTGTTAGTTTGGATTATCGATTGCACGCTTCTGTTCTGTAGTTTACTGTTGAAATTTTCAGAATAGGAACAACATAAGCTGGAAATCCAAGGTTAACAGTACCCTGTTTCCAGCTAAACAACCATACTCATACGCAAACTAATCCATCCTAGACTGAACGAGATATCATTATAGAACTCGGCCAGCTAGTTAAGTATTAGAATTCCGGGGGGGGGGTAATTAGAATGTGAATCGAGCTGGAAGTTAGATCTGACCCTTTTCAAATTGCTTTCGAGATCTCCCAGGCTTGAAGAAGCGTCCCGATTATGATGCAAAAAACAAGATCCCACACAAGCCTGCAAAATTCGATCAGATTTGAAGTCTTCTAGTCTCAACAACCTGTACTAACCTTCTCGTCCAATTTGAAGCCTCTATAGCCTAGCACCGAAGGCGCAATCCTCACCGCCGCATAGCATTCAAGTTCTCCAAGTGCCTCCACAAGTCCAAGCTTCGAATAGGCTTCAGGATCTATAAATGGAGTGAAAAGTTTGAGTTCTAGAAATTAGGGTTTGTGAAGATTGGAATTTGAATTTCATGGAAGTACGAAGAGTGAAAGAGGAAGGAGTAGGGATGGCAATTTGAACCCGCTCCGCCGGGTAATACCCGACCTGATCCGCGATGGGGCGGGTATTACCCGACCCGCATTAGCATGGGGCGGGGCATGGGTATCAACTTCCAACCCGTCCTGCACCGCCCCGCCCCATTCTTAGCCCGTTCTAGGTCAATTTTTACTCCATCATATCTCATATTTTGACTTTTATTCAACTAGTTAGACTTGATCTTTCAACTAAATAGACTCAATTACTTATTATATTATCATTATTATTCATTCATCAAGTATTTTCCCCTTCGTTTTATCATAAAAAGTAAAATTGTGTGTGTATTTTTCTCAAATAGCATGTAATAGTTGGTCGACCCGCTCCGCCCTGTACCCGCACGGGTATTACACGCCCCGACCCGTACTAGCGTGGGGCGGGCATGGGTATTGACTATTGAGGTACCCGCCCCGCCCCGACCCTTTGCCATCACTAGGAAGCGGTAGATAGGCGGAAATGAAGAAGAAGATCGAAAATAGGAATTTTAGACACATTTACAGGCTTTTCCTTCCTTTGACGTAAGTCCGTAACCGGGCTCAAGCCATCTTCATGTGAGTTGAGATGGCTTCTTTGGAAAGTAATTGTGGATTGTGAATTGATCCAATTTAGATCATATCAAATGCTCCCCAAGATTTCATGGATATCGCTCTACCTCCCACTTTCCAACTCATGTTACCTCTTTACTACAAAAGGTTGAGAATAGGGTCCATCGCCAAAAATAGCGCAAAGTGAAAAAATATAGATATTACAACTCAGACCAAAAATTTGTTTGTTTGTGTCTCCACTCAGCTACAATGTCAAATATGCTTGTTATGGTCTTAAACCGTCATCGTCAATTTTATTGGGCAAAATACAATTACCAAAGTCTTTTCTTGTGTGATAGATCCCTCTTACCATGATGTGCAGCATTTTCGCTGTCACTAGCAAGAAAGATGGAGGTATAGTATTAGCCCACGACTCAAAAATTGACTTGTCCCGATTGCATTAACCCCTAGTCAACCCTTTTAAGTCGTGTGTCTAAGGGTCGCTCTTATGTTGTGTAGCTCTCACTATTTGAGCTTGATTGTGATCAGGTAGAGTGGAACTTACTTTCTTCGTGTCTACACCATTTTTGAGTCACCCTTGTGTTTGGAAACCCCCATCATTTGAGCTTCATTGAGGTTCCACATTGTGATTTGTGCATGGTTTTTGCTAAATGTGAAAGTGAGTGATAAGGGTCGCTCTTATGTTGTGTAGCTCTCGCTATTTGAGCTTGATTGTGATCAGGTTGAGTGGAATTTACTTTCTTCGGGTCTACACCATTTTTGAGTTACCTTTGTGTTTGGAAACACCCATCATTTGAGCTTCATTGAGGTTCCACATTGTGATTTGTGCATGGTTTCTGCTAAATGTGAAAGTGAGTGTTGGAGGTAGTTCTTAAAAGTGAGCATATGTTCATAAAAGTTCAAGAATGTGGTATGCTTTGCCAACTCTCTTATATCCCCCCAAGAAAAAAAAGAAATGAAAAAGAAAGTAATAAAAGGGGCAAATAAGAAAAGAGAGTTGCCACAAAATGTTGTTTGTGCTCTTAAAATGTGTTTCTTGGCAGTCAAGCTACTAAGGCACTTACATGTTTGGTTACCTCTTTCACTCCTGTGCTTGAAAACTTTGATAACAGATGTAGCAAAGAAAGTGTGTGTTGAATGTTGTTCGTGATTTGTTGTATTTCGGAATGGCGGATTGTGTGGCCATTGCTTGTTGTGAGTGGTTTTGTGTTGTATGCTTGGTTCTTCTATGAACTATGGAACCTCATGCTATATGTGACACCACCCAAAATTCCTTTTCCCCATGTACTAGACCCTAGCCAGTCTGAGTATGCACATCTTTTGCATCAAAATGATCCCGACCCCACTAATCGAGAGTGAGTGATTTATTCATCTTTACTTGTTCAAATCATAGATCCCGATGAGGACCTAGTTGGCTCAATTGTTTGTTCTAGTGACGATATTTATGAATGGATAACTGTGATTGGTGAGTCATCATTAAAGGTTATGTGTTCGGTGGTGAAAAAGGTGAGACCTATTCATTTGCACGCTCTTAATGCATTCAAATGTCATTTGTGGTGGTTTCCATGATTAGTGCTGTTGTTGTCCATATTTAAGTGCCAACTAAACATTAAAATCCATCCACTTTGTGCCCTTTGACATGTCCCCAAGTTATCGTGTTTTAGGTTGAAAGATTACCTTGTGTATGATTGGTTTGCTTGGGGACAAGCAAACGTCAAAGTGTCCGGGAGTTTGATTCGGGTCTAAGTGCACATGTTTGTACCCCCTTTATCTTGTGCGTGATTTAGCATTTTCAGATCTTAGCAGGTAGAATTAGCTACGGGATCGAAAGTGGAACAAAAAAGAGGGAAAAAATGGACAAAAGATGGACAAAAGGCAGAGGATCACACCCAGATGGAGGTTGTCAAGGGAAGCCAATCGTGAAGATGGAGCTCCGTCCGTGACATTGGACAACGCGCAAGAGGTTTCGGATGGCTCGCGGGCAAGTCAGACATCACAGTCACAAGACCATGACAATTCCATCAACCCATAAAGTCGATTAGTAAAATGACGCGTTTTGCACCAAAATCACGGGCAAGCCTTCGCCATCACGGGCAAGACAATGGACCGTGAAACAAGCCTGACTAGAGTATTTAAAGGAGAGAGAGCTGAAACTTGATAAGAGAGTTCTATAGAGAGATTTCGGGTCTTCTTCTTAAAGTAGAGAGAGAAAGTGCTGAGCTAAGAGGAGCAAGAACGAGGATTGGATATACCCAAGGCTAAAGGGTTGAAGGTTTCTTCTCCACAAGGTTAATCAAGCAACTAGAAGAAAGGATAATTATCTTATAATGGGGTTTTCTTCCATATCCCTTACTAGCTATGGAGTAGTTCTCCCATTTTACTATGATATTGGAAACCCTAGTCTAGGATGTGTTAGTTTGTAGGAATTGAATTCCTTGTGTTGGGTTAGTGATTAATATCATATTTTTGGTATTATTCATGAATTTTGAGTGTTGTTTGTCATATCTCAATGTTGGGTCAATCTGACCTAGAAGGAGGAAAAGGACTTTGCTAACTAATTGCATCCTCCTCACGGTATATAATCACACTCACCACACTAGAGTTCCATGCGTTGTAACTTGACACGAGACTAGGGGGAACAATATCTAAGCGAAACTTTCTCAAATCGAATTCTCACCAATTACTTTGCTTGCTTGCAAATTTGTAGTTTCCTTAGCTTTAACTCCAAACCGTTCGCGAGATAAAATTTTAAATGATTGAAGTAGGGGTACATAAATTGCCTCGAGTTGAAATTTAAAATACTTTCCCTATCTTACACCCGATTATATTGCCCTATCCTACACCCGATTATAGGTTGCACTTGGCCTATAGTTGGGCGTTGTGTAGTGTAGCGTGAGTTAGGGGGCATCTTATAATCATGATGATTGTTTCCTTCTATTTGGTTGTTTTTCTCACTCTAGCTATGGAGTAGTCCTCCAAGGAGGTAGAAACCTAGTCCATCATGTTGTAGTTGATTGATTGTGAGCCCTATGCCCGGATTTGCAAGTTGATTATATATTTATTTATGCATTATTCATGGAAATTGAAGGTTCTTAATCACTTCCCTCAAGTTGGGGCTAATTAACCTAGGTGAGAGAATATCTCCTTAATTATGATTTAGAACATAGCCAAATCAACACTTGGGATCTATCAGGGAGTGGGATTAGTTTCCTTGTGTTGGATCGGGTCATCACCCAATTATGGGAGTAGCTATGGTTGCCTCAACTACCTCGGTCGGTAATTTGGTAGACCTCTCCGAGTAGTGAAACTGAGCGAGATAGGATGACTCGAATAGGGAGTATTTAGATTAGTGTTCCCTATAATATATTCTAAGTGTGAATTGTGCTAGGGTGTCACAACGTCAATTAGATATAGACTAAGGGGAAACACATCCGAGTGCAGTTCCATCAAATTGAATTCAATCTCAATTTACTTACATGCTTGTTTGGTTTAGTAGTTGAAACAACAATAAGATCGCTAGATAATGCATAGTTTATTGAAGTAAGGTGAAAAAGCAAGTTCCAACTCAAAATTGCAAGAAAATAAAAGCTAGATTAACACTAGTTCACTTTGTCCAAAAATAAATCGTTGCCCCCGGGAACGGTGCTAGAAAAACATGACTCGTATTCATAAAAATGTTTAGTCGTGCCTAACTACACCTATACCCGGGTTGATATTTCGAGATACTTGGTCTATACTACACCCAGTTGCAAGGTGCACTTAGCATCTGATCGGGATAGGTGTACTTAGGAACGACTAAACTTTTTTATGAATACGAGTCATGTTTTTCTAGCACAGTTGCCGGGAGCAACGACTTATTATTTGAAAAAAAAAGTGAACTAGTGTTTATCTAGCTTTTATTTTCTTGCAATTTTGAGTTGGAACTTGCTTTTTCTCTCCACATTTGTGTTTTTTGAAGTGATTTTAGGTGGTATATGATCCAGAGCAACCCGGATCACTTGGAGATAATAGAAGAAAACATCAACCGGACTCTCTATTATCTTGCATGTGAGAGTGAGTTAAGGGAAGCGTGGCAGAGACTTCTTAGTCGGGTTTAACCCGAAGGAGATGAGTACGAGGAATAAGTGGATGAGTTTTTTGTTGGAACCATTGTCAATGAAGCTGAGTAATAAGGCATTAATGCGAGGACCATGG